GACAAAACCTGGACTGTTGGTGAGTCTTTGAGAACTGGTTTGGGAAAACTGGTCTAAAGCAATGGAAATGTTTTTCACCGTAAGAATTTATGGATGTGAAATTCCCTGCCCTAATAGGTGATTTTATCAGCCTGTACAAATGTTTAAACTGCAACTGGATGAATTCTTGCAAAAACATAATAATTGTGTATATATATTTTTTCATTTGTGCTGTACCAGCTTCTTGATCCAAGGAGAGATTTAACTGCCATTCTGGGATCAAGAAGGATTTTCTTTCCTAGTTACAAAATTGGAAAGCCCATCAAACTGTGATTTTTGCTTTTTTGGGATCAACAGCAAACACAAATTTGAGAATGGCTGAAATTGATGGATGCATGTCTCCTTTCAGCCTAGGTAACTATGTAGTTAATTGCAACAAAAACATAGAATATAACAACTCTGAGAACGGACAAAAGCTTAGAGAAACTCAGTAGCTTGCCCTTTGGTAAATCCCAGCTCCGGTCTTAAAATAGTTTTTGTTTACTTGTGTAATTACAGAGTGAACCTATACCATTGCACATCGGACTGATCCCACCCATAAGGGTAGTTCAGAACCTATAATGCTGGCAAGTTCTCTCAGCATGAGAAATACAGCAATCCTGGACAATTGTTTTAGCCTTCTTTGGGCCTCTTCAGAGAGGTGTAGCGGATACCTCTCCAAGCACATTGAGCACAGGATCCACTTCTGGATTACCCTTTTAGCTTAGGGGGAGCCAAAGCAAATGCATTGCAAGAAAAACATAGAATACTCTAAGAACGGACTAAAGGTTGCCCTTTGGTAATTCGGTGCATAGGTCTCAAATTAGGTTTTGCTCACTTGTGCCATTTCACAGTGAACCTTTACCATTGCACATCAGACTGATGCCACTTATAAAGGTAGCCCAGAACCGAAATGCAGGCATATTATCTCTGCATATGTAATGGTAACTTACCTGCTCTGTGAATAAAATCAACATTCAATGGCTTTGCCCTAGCTAAAAAATCATATATTTTCCCAACCAATCATCTCTTTTTTTGGCAGGCATTGGTGGACCTGCAAATCAAAAATCAAACTAAAATGGTCCTAACCAAATCAAACTATCCTTGTCTATTGCATGAGTCGTTTGTTTCTTGATTAGTCTACATAGGGGTTTGGAAATCAGGAATTTAGACAATCACTCGATCAGCCCAAATTCAATTGCTTGTCTCTGATTTGATTTGATTTTGTTGTCTTGCTGGTACACTCTTGCATTTTGTTCTTTTTTTTTTTGCAACTATTCACTTTAAGCTGTAATGCAACACATTTAGTGGTGTTTCCTTGACCTGATTCCATCAAGTGAACTAAAAATATATCACTTTTCTAAAACATAATTGAACCCTTTGTTCTATAGGATAATGTTTGTACTCTAATTTAATCTATTTGTTTCTTTTGTCTTAGTGATTCCATCTAGTGTCTCCTCGATAAGCCTACATTCTACTTACCTAGCCTACTTTATCTACACTACCTGTCTTTTTTTATGCCTCTTCATATTTCACAAAAATACTTTTACAATTTACATCATAACCCAATATACATAAAAAATATTTCAGCAAAAATTGGAAAATCCACCAGTTCAACTATTTTTTCAAGCTCTGCTATCTTGACCTAATATGTGTGAATACCGTGTCAATTCTTCAGAATTTCTGATTTAGTGAAAAAACTTTTATAAGGGAAAGGTCATATAAACTGGATCACTGAGGCATTTTGACTCGTGGTATAAGGTTACCTATGTCTGAAGTCTAACAAAGCTCTAGCTTGATTTTTGAGACAGCTTTGATGCCCTGATACTGGGGCATTCCATGGCCTAGGCCAGGGATAGGCAGCCATTCAGCACTCCAGATATTGAAGACTACCTCTCCCCTAAAGCTTTGTCAGCATTATGCCATTAAAGTGTAGTCCACAACATTGAGATTGCCAAAGGTTGACTACTGTTGACAACAGTTGACCCACAGACAAAGTTACAGGCAGCCACACAGTCACATACTGTACAGTTACAGACAGAGAGTCGCGCATTCAATCACAAGCAAACAGTCACACATACACAATTACTTTGCGGTTCTAATGCACTCTAAGTAAATTATAAATTGTGAAATTTAGTATTATTCTTGGGCTTGAATGAGAAACTGTAACGCTGGTAACCTGACTTTTTTTAAAAAAAACTTTGTATTACCATATTTATTTGATTTTGTGATACAAATAAATATATATATATATATATATATATATATATATATATATATATATATACAATTGCTTGTACATTCGTAAATAATTTCTTATATGGATTTAGTATTTTAGGCACCATTGTTTAAAATCTTATAATAAATACATAACATTACAAGATATAACATCAATTTTAACTCAGAGCAGAAATTTTTTATCTTAGTTCGTATATTTCATTTGTGTCTATTATAATGCGACAAGTGTTTAAAAGTCTTATAATTTATCCAACCATGTTTCATATATGCTTTGATTTTTAAGAGAGTATATGTGGAATTTGAAAGATATTTTTCCATACGTATTTGATATTTAATTTGATTAATAAGATGATTTTTTGGGAAAGGGGAAGAAGATTCCAATTTCTAGCAATGGTTATCTTAGTAGCCGTTAAACAGTGGATGGCTAAACATATATGATTTACATATTTCAAATTCCATTTCAAATGCAGGAGTGCAATTCCGGGTCCCCACTTTAACTTATTACCATAACATTCGAAAAATGTTGTAAGCCCAAGTCCAAATGGTTTTGACCAAAGGACATGCCCACCAAATATGGATAAAAGATCCTACTTGATTTCCACATCTCCAACAATTTGGATTATAATCCTGATACATATTTGATATCCTAGTAGGGAGTAGGCATTTATACAAGATCTAAAATTGGCACTCAATTAAATTTAAACAATGAATGTTCTTATATAACTGTACTAAAGTAGTACACCATTCCAATTGGGATATATCAAGTTCTAAATCCTTTTTCCATGTATTTATTATTTTTAATGGTCTATCATTTAATATATCTATTAATTGGTTGGCTTTAGAGGTCACTTTACTGATTTTCTTGTAGACAAATATCTTTTCCATCACGTCTGTTATTGGTGAGGAGGTTTTAATTACATTTACTTCTACAAAGTTATTTATTCTTAAATATTTAAAAAAAAATTATTGGAAATTTGATACTTTTCAGCAATTTTTTTAAATGGTTCTAGTTTATCCTCTTGGTTAATATCAGCTAGAGTGATTACATTCTTATTTGGCCAGTTTCTTAAAGATAGATATTCGATATTATCTTCCAATGAACTTAGTCTACATGTTTTTGGAATTCTTTGTCTTAAACCTAAGGATTGTTTTATTTCTTCCCATACTTGCAAGGTCTGGGATAAGATTAGAGATGTATTATAGATTTGGTCTGTGAATTTTTTGGAACTATTACACCATAGATAGTATTCTTTTTTTTTTTTTGCATCCACTGCTTCCAATTCTACAATATACCATGGTTCTGTTACCATTTGGTCTTCTTGTAATTTGTATATATGATTTATTATATGAGCATAGTATATGTGCTTTATAATTGGAAAGTTTAATCCTCCCTTACAATATTTCTTTGCCGATGTTATTCAACGTATCCTGTTTTTTTTACTCTTCTATATGTATGATGTAAAGCTTGATTGTTTTATTTCAAGCCAACTTTTTGGCATTTTAAATGGTACCATTGCAAACAAATATGACCATTTTGGTAATATATAAGAATTTATGGTGTTGATCCTCCCAAACTATGATGTTTCCACATCTTTCCAAATTTTTACGGTCTTATTTGTATATTTTATTAACGTCATAACATTTATTTTCATTGTTCTCTCTACTTGGGCAGTAACCCCTAAATAGTTTATTTCTTTTTTTGTCCATATAAAGTTAAATTTCTTACTTAGAATCTCAATACTGGTATTATCCATATTTTTATACATAGCCATAGATTTTGCTAAATATTTAACTTATAATTTGAAACTGTGCTATCTCTTGCATTAAACAAGGAAGAGAAGACTCAGAAGAGGTAATGGTTATCATCGTATCGTCAGCGTATAATGAAATTTTAATTTATTTTTTCTTTGTGTAAAAACCTTTGATTTCTGAGTTTTCCCTGATATTTATAGCCAGTGGTTCAATTGACTGGATGTAAAGAAGAGGGGAAAGAGGGCATCCATGCCTTGTACATTATTTTTTTTTTTTTTTTATAAATCTTTATTTTGGCAGTGCATAATCAATACAGAAGAGCTTGCATTGCCACAACAGCATGTGCAAGTCAGTCATTCAACATAGTTTAACAATTAGTGGCATTGGTAGTGTCGCACATTTTTAATATAGTACATGACTATTATAAGTAATGAGTGAAACCGGTAGCTAATGAATATACAGCTTCTGCCGTGAGGATGTAAAATATCTATGTGTGTGTGCAGGGCAGGGCGCCTTAGATGCCTCAAATATCAGAGAGCTATATCAAGACTGGTGTACTGGGTACATGTTAGAGAGGCCGGATCCCCCTTATTTTACCCTTAGGGTGATAGTTTTAGTAGTTCTACAGTGAGAATAAAGGGGGGTTAACTGGAGTAGTGTGTAGAGGGAGATAGTGAGAGGTTCAATACTATTATTACATGTGATGAGCAGTACAAATAATTATAACGGTAAGCTTTGAAAGTAAATAAACATGAGAGACAACAGACGGTATCATGTGCACACAGTTCAGTGCACCGAAGTGGATGCTGCTTCTTTCCGTTGTGCCTCCGCTATGAATGGGCACACCATCGCTGGATTCCAGGCTACAGAGGTTGTTGGGGTCATTGGTTCGGCTTGCTCTGGTAGTTGTTTATCCAATTTGAGTTTCTGCAGTGTGGCTGGGATCTCTGCTCCTTCTTGTACCTTGATGGCACCAGTGTCCCTGGGTATTATCAGGCTTTTGGGCGTGCCCTAACGGTATGGTATGTTGTGAGATAAGAGCTCTTGGTTAGGGGGCGCAGGGACCATCTCCAGTCCATGGTGGCTTTGGAGAGATCAGGGTAGAAGGTCAGGGAATAGCCCTCAGAGTGGAGGGGGGATTTGTTGCGTGTGGCTGCCATGAGGGCGAGGCGATCTCTGCCTTGTTGGAAGCGGATGATCACGTCTTTTCCACCCTCTGGGGTGCTTGTCGTTGGTCTGGAGATCCGATGCCAGCTATTCAGTGGCATAGATTTGGCCTGCTTATCTTTGAAGAGAGTGCTAAACAGCCTGCAGAATAGGTGCGGTATTTCTGTGGTCTCCACCGCGTCAGGCAGGCCGCAGACTTTGACATTCTTCCAACGCCGTTTGTCTTCTAGCGCTACTAGGTGATCTTGCTGTTGCTGGTGTGCCTTTTGCAGGGCTGGCAGTTGCTGTTCCACTGTCGCTAGTCTGGTCTCTTGTGCGGCCGTGTTTAGCTCTGTATTTTGTAGTCCGGCCGACACTCCACTTATTTCCTCGTGGAACATGCCGATGTCAGCTGCAATATTGCGGTGCAGCTCACCAAGCATGTCTCTCAGCGTCTCCTCCGTAACCGGTGGCTTTGCAGGTAAGTGGGTCAATTTGGGCGCCATAGTCATCCTCCTCCAACCTGGATGCCTTGCTAGACGAGTTGTACCTGTCTTCCATCCGCAGCGCCATTGTAGACCTCGGTTTGGGGCCTCCGCAGGAGATTACCGATATCTGCGGTAGTCGGGGGATTATCCGGCTTGGATTTTTTGTTGCATCGCCCCATACTCTCAGAAGGCTTTGCTGTGTCCAGGAGTGCTCTCAGGTTGGCTTTTTCCACTGTATTTCGCCTTATTTGGGACTTATTTGCACGGAGCTTAGTGCATGTGCATCCTCTCAGTATGGCTGCTAGCTCTGCCCCCCTTGTACCCTTTTTTAAGTCAATCCAACCAGCAAAAATATTTGCCCCGACAGTTTTAGCTGGTGGTACAGAGTATAATGCCATTATGGCATTACATAGCCAACCTTTAAAGCCAAAATATTTTAATACGTTTTCTAAGTAGCCCCAACTAACCCTGTCAAATGCTTTTTCTGCGTCCAAAGACAGAGTCAGTAGGGGCACTAATTTTCTACCAGACTGGTCTAACATATCCATAATTCTTCTGGAACAGTTACTTGCTGATCTGCCTGGAATAAACCCTATCTGATCAGGATGTATTATTTTATTTATTGTTGCTTTTATTCTTTCAGCTAAAATGGAGGCATATAGCTTCATGTCAACATTTATCAATGAAATTGGTCTGTAATTTTTTACATCAGTACTATCTTTATTGGGTTTTAATATTGGCAAAATATTTGATTGTAGGAGTTCTTTTGATGTAATTGAGCTACCTACTATTTCATTGAATAGACAAGTTAAGGGTTCTATTAGTATGGGTTTCATTAATTTATAGTATAAGTTACTAAATCCACCTGGGCCTGGTGTTTTGCTCATATCTAACTTTTCTATTTGTCTCTCAACTTCAATAGTTGTAAACTTTAAATTTAGAAGTTCTAAATCTTCAACTGTTATTTTTGGAATCTTTGTATTGGCTAAGTAATTTTGTATATCAATGTCATTTGAGTTTGACTGAAGATTATATAAATTATTTCCCTATTTGTTCCGGGGTGGTATACATATCTTGTTTGTCTATTAACCTATCAACCCTATTCCTGGCTCTTTGTTTTTGGAGTTTTCTTGTTAAGTTCCTACTTGCGCTATTACTTGAATAATAATTATTTAGCTTCAATTTATTTATGATTATTGAATTTTTTTCTTCTGTTTTTATATTTATTTTATTTTGCAGTTCTATTAAAGATTTTTTCCTTTGATTTGTTGGTTGTGATTTATTTATATTTGTGAGATTATAAAAAGATATGTATAAATCTGATAATTCTTTCCCATTAGTTTTTTTTTCTATATTACCCATTTTAATTAAATAGCCCCTCATTACTGCCTTGAGTACACCAGGAAGTCGAATGAGAAATGTCTGGAGAATTATTTTCCTCAAAGTTTTTTTTTAATAACTTTAATAATTCTTCCTTATTGTTTTTTTTTTTATTAAGTAATCATTTATTCTCCATGTATTTATACCATGTACTGAGGGTTTCCCCAATTCAATTAAAACAAAGCTATGATCTGACCAGGGATTTTCTTTACGTAAAATATAGATTTGGCTTTAACTAAAAACAAGTCTATTCTTGAATAAGATCCATGAGCATTTGATAGGGGCGTATAATCCCAATCAAATGGGTGTAAAGTTCTCCACACATCATACAGTTCAAACATTTTGCAAATGTTGTTTAATTTCTTAGATTGTTTTATAACCCTTTTGTCAAGTTACACAAAAGTTTGGGAAATGTTATCCATTTTAAAATATAGTACACAGTTAAAGTCGCCGGCTATAATAATTATTCCTTTAGATATCTTCTGTACTTTTTTCATAATCTTAGAAAATACTGACATAGGATCTATGTTAGGCAAATATAAATTTACAAGTGTGAATATCTTATTATCTATCTTATAAACTATTATTAAATACCTAGCTTCTGGATTAGCATCTTGGTATAACATATCTACTTTTATATAATTTGAAAAAATAATTGCTACACCTCTTTTTTTATTTTTATCCAAGGAAGCTTGTCTTATTATTGCATATTTCATCCCTCCCCATTTTTGAGAAATATTTTGTTGCCAATGGGTTTCTTGTATGAAGCCTATTTACATTTTTTTTCCTCAACAAGGGAATTATATATCATCCTCCTTTTTGCAGGTGTATTTAAACTTTGCACATTTATTGACATTAATTTAAACATTGATATTTTAGACACATCCTAATAATTACGCTCCTTATCTGATTACATAATAAACATCTATTACAACATTTAACACATATTGTGTTAATTGGTGATCTCTTGATCGCCAGTTACATAAAAAATATATATTTCTAGGAACATAGTTCCATAATTTCCTCTGTAACTATGTAGTAACACCACACAAAGTGGGGTAAGCCCTTAGGAGTGGGGATACATTAACATTGATTATTGCGCACCTAATCTGGGTATATTATCCCAGAAAAAGAGGAAAGAGCAAAAGACAAAAAACAAACAAACAAACAAAAAAGTTTTCCTCCACCGAACTTACAGTGAAAAGTGATATATAAATTTCTTTCTAATTTACCAAATAACAATATAAACCCCTATAGTGAACTTTCTAAAAATGTAATATTTACTTAGAATTTGTTTAAATTGTGAATTAATGTTCTCTTTTCCTTCTTTTCTTATTTATATAATTACTATTCCTCCATATATTTGTGATATCTTTAAGCAAAACATTTTTGCAAAAAAAATATATATAAATAAATAATTAAAACTTTTTTCTCCTCTAAACATATAGTGAGAAGAAGTATATAAATTCCTTTATATTTTACCAAGTGACAAGGTGAACTTTTTAGTGAACTTCATAAAAAAATGTAATATTTACTTATAATTCATTTGAATTGTGGTTTAATATTCCCTCTTTTCTTACTTTCTAATTGATATACTTAATATTCTTCCAAATACTTGTGCTATCTTTAATCAAAGATTTACCACTTTTATGAATCTTTCTAATTTGTCCTACTTCATTCCTTAAACTCACCCTCACCTCCCCCTTAAATATCGTATTGAGAAAAAAAAAAAATTACATAATTTATCATTACCCTTTTCATCTTTCCCATAAGTTAACCTTCCATTTCACTTATCTTGTCCTCTCTGGTATACTGACTTTGATGATAGCATTCGGCATTGTGATTCCCATTATGAAACAGTGATAATTTGAATACCTCATCATTTTGGGACACTGTCTTTTCAAATCTTTGAAGTTAATCAAGGTCTAGAAATACATCTCTCTGTATCTGTTTTTTTACGTGTTTTATATTTTATATTTATTTCTGATCTACATATGCATGTTGAGTTCTACTGAATTCCAAAACCCCAGCAACAGGGAATTTATTGTCACATGAACCCCAGAAAGAACCTATAGAAAATTAGGTTATGTATTAACTCCTTACCAAACCGTGGATACCAAGAGAGAATGATATGGTCAATAGTGTCTGATGTGATTGTACACTAAAGAAGGCTAAAAAGGGAGAATTCCCCTTTGGAATTAGCAAGTTCACCATTTGCTCAGTAACTGCTCTCCAATAGAGCAATGATTGCACAGATTTCCATGTCTCCTGACTAAGAAGTAATTCTCTCAAATCGGATAGAATGAATAATCCAATAACCTCTTATGAGCTGCAGTTATTTGTGGCAAACATGGCAGCTCCCCGTTCGTCATTTCAGCCTGACTTGTTTTTCTTAATCCAATTGTATTAACTTCTAATCTCTTAGCTATTCATAAATCAAACACATGCCAACCAACCATCCCCCCTATTTAACATTAATTAGTTCTATTTCTAAGTTGCCCGTATAATTTACACACGTCTTGTTGCTGGATTTTAACCCACATCTCTGAATCAAGTTCTGTAATTAACTTATCTATAGACTGAAGACTGACAATTACATTAGAAAACATGTAATTACTGAAAGTGGTTTACAAACACATATCTTTCATTTTAAGTGATATTTTAAGGAAAGTTGTAATTTCAGGATCTTTTACTTCGTGCAAAGTGTTATTCCAACGTGACCATATACATAATCCTCAAAAAAATAAGTAAATATGTCTTTCCTCCAGATTCGAACAAATCTAAAAATACATACATATATGTTTTGTTTTTTTACTTATGTTTATATAATTTAGCTACATTTTAATATATATATATATATATATATATATCCAAATATTTCAGCAAAGAAAATTGGGCACTCGCAGGTCTTGTTTGGTGGGGAAAAAAATAGCAAATTTATTAGTGTAGTATTGTTTAGGATCGGTTCTCGATCCTTTCTCCTTGCTACACTAATAAATTTGCTATTTTTTTTTTCCCACTAAACAAGACCTGCGAGTGCCCACTTTTCTTTGCTGAAATTTTGGGATATATATTGCTTCCAGTGTGGTGCACCAAGGCATTACATCATTCCGTTTTGAAAAGCAATTGGAGAATAGTGAGTGCCCTCATCCCTGTATTGCATATATAATATATTATACATACTATTTAAAGGGTAGCCCCCTAGATAGATTGTAGTATGTCACAGTTTGGGCCATGCGATATGCCAGGCAAAGCTTGGTATATTTATGCCCTCCCCTTCCTGCACATAGTTGGTTTGAGGGCAAAGGGAAAACCATTTCATACTATCGCAAGAATTCGTACACTCTACACTGTTTGCTTTTAAGTAGTTTAATTAATTTACAGCACTACAGGAGTTCAACCAAACAGCATGCATGTCTGTTATCTTTGGAGCCACATAAAAACATGGATATGGAGCAAACTTTGAGATTTGTTTCATTCCGAACTGCAATTCGTCAAAATTTGGACCGATTGGGTGATTGTATGAAATCTCGAACTCGGAGCTGATTCACAAAACAAACACATTAAGTTCCCCACTACTGAAGTAAGCCTTACTTCAGTAGTGGGGAAAGTAAAGTAAACCATGTTAAATGATAGGATCGTTG